CTTAAAGTTCGACCGTTTCGCGTCATCTCAACTCAAAAAGCTTCGCCGTCAAAAAGAGAGGTTATACAAAATGAAAAATAAATCTGGTGTTAAGAGAATAAACACTTTGATTAAAGCCGAATTACAAAGATTAAATGCTCTCTATAACCAGAAGTTTCTTTCATGTAAATCCTCATCTAATATGTGGAAGCTATTAAAGGAAATCACAGGTGGTAAGCAAATAATGAATGATACTTCTGTCGATGTTGATATGCTAAATAAATCCTTCGTATGTATCCCTGCAGATGTTATGATTCCCAAATCTAATAGTATAAATAATGACTGCTTTTCATGTTTTAACACGAATGATGTCCTCAAGTGTCTTCAATCTCTCAAACCTACCCAGTCCCTTGGTCCTGATGGAGTTCCTGCTGTTATCCTTAAGAAGTGTGCTGACATCTTATGTTACCCATTAACTGACATTTTCAATGAATCTTTTTCCAATAGTTTTATTCCTGACTCATGGAAAAATATCAAGGTTGTTCCAGTGCCCAAATCAACAAGTGGACCTACTGTCAAGTTTAGACCCACTGCTATTACCTCACCTTTTTTAAAAGTTATGGAAAGACTTATTTTACTTAATCTTGAACCCTCTTTAAAGCCTTTTAACGACCCCAACCAGTTTGCCTATAAACATAGTAGGTGTACCCTAGATGCCGCTGTAGTTCTATATCATAATATAGTCTCTAGTTTAGATAGAGGAGCCAAATATGTTCGGTGTGCCTTCCTTGATTACACATCTGCATTTGACTCTGTACCTAGGTCTCTCTTGTTAAGTAAGCTTGCTGCAACACAGAGTGAGAGCTGGATAAATAAGTGGTTGTATTCCTACTTTTCTGATAGGAAGCAGTACACTGTCTACAATGGAAAGTCCTCCTCTACCTCACTGACTTTAGCTGGTGTTCCTCAAGGTGCCGTTCTTTCTCCTTTTCTGTTTTCTTTTTTCTTACATGACTTGCCCCATTGTGATGTAGCCACTTTTGTCAAGTATGCTGATGACCTCTCTGTCTCCATGCCTGTCAACTCTCAGTCAGACTGTTCCATATTAAATAACTTTCTCTCGGAAATTAGTCAGTGGTCCTCTTCAAACGGTCTTAAGCTGAATCCGTCTAAATGTCAGGTAGTAAATTTTACTTTCAGACGAAAAAGTGACCTTCAACAACTAGCTAGCTCACATGGTCCACGTAGGAAGGTGTAGACTGGCTTCCTGACTGGTCGGGGTCCTCAAAATGAAGGTGAAAACTAATGAAGGCTGGGAACAATTGGTGATATGGCTCAAAATCGTTCTCAATGGCTGGCTGGCGCAGATGCATTCACTCCTTGTGGCCTATGAGTGTGGGGTGACTTGAACTGCTGCACACCTGTGCAAAGTTCTACATCGAAAGCAGATAGAGACAGAGTGTATAACACATAGTGTTAAGTTCTAGTATCCCTGCCTTCACACTTTTCCACAATCATTTTATTTTTTTAAATTCATCCCAGGAACAGATATTTTTATGATTGACTGACTTCGGTTTACTGAAATTGTAATTTTTTACCTCTTTCAATCACGTGATATATCTTTTTTATTGCTTGGTCGGTTAAACTGGCGATTAAAAAGAAAGTAAGAATAAGTTCAACAATACCGTCCCACGAGTGCGAACGCTCCAATGACCTTGAACGTATGCTAGTCGTTGGCTGACGACGACACCTATCATTATCATATCTGAACGCTATCAACGATATTTATCAAATAAGCAGCAAATTTCACCCAGATCATGTTTTTAAGTACTATTTGGACTATGTCTTAATAGCTCGTTAGGGTTAGCATTAGTGTTAAGGTAAGTATTGGGATTAGGATTAGGGTCAAGGTCATAATTAGAATTAAGGTTAGGTCTACGGTTAGGATAAGAGTTGTAATTAGGGTCAGGATTAAGGTTTGCGTTACGATTAGGAATAGATTTATAGTTGATGTCATTTAATTTATTTTTTGTTTTCTTATCCACATTTTCCTGGTATGTGGTCGTCGATCCTCTTACTGGAAACCATAGTAATTCAGCCGACGGCTTTTGTGGGAGACTGCATAACAGGATAAGAGAGATAAACGATTCACAAAAACAGCTCTTCTTCAGTCACCTCGGTGAATACCCATGTACAGAAACTGGTCTAACTTAGCAACCGAAACTCCCCATTTATAACTGGGACGTATTTTTAAGTCATGTCAGAGAAAGATAACCTGTTTATAATGTGTTTTCGAGCATTTACTTGACCATGCCTGTCAACTCTCAGTCAGACTGTTCCAAATTAAATAACTTTCCGTCGGAAATTAGTCAGTGGTCCTCTTCAAACGGTCTTAAGCTGAATCCGTCTAAATGTCAGGTAGTAAATTTTACTTTCAGACGAAAAAGTGACCTTCAACAACTAGCTAGCTCACATGGTCCCACTATCATAGACGGCATAGAGGTTGAAACTACATCAGATGTCAAGTACCTTGGACTGAGTATTTCCTCCGATCTTTCCTGGTCCTCTCACATCTTGCTAGTGACTAGAAAGATGTTTCGCTTAACGTTCTACCTTAGGAAGTTTAGGCAGTCTGGTATAAAGCAGTCTTTACTTTCTCAGTTTGTCAATTCCTGTATTCTACCCATCCCTCTTTACTGCTCCCCATTAATCTTTCCAGGACTACTTAAGAAAGACTTTGCTTCGCTGCGTAGGGCACTAAAAGCTGTTAGTAGGGCAAGTGGGATATCGTTAAACCAACTGGTTAACACCATAGTGGATAGACATATAATGTCATGTAAGAAACTAGCGAATACTATATTGTCAGACCCTGAGCATCCTCTCTATACACAGCTCTCTCCTTGCATATCATCTGGTAGAACTAGAAGTAACTATAGGAAGCTATATGCCAGGACTACCAAGTATAAAAACTCCACAATACCTTATCTGGCACAGCTGTTATGTGATGAGAAAACTGTTAGGCATGACATGATCAATTTATTGCGGCACTCTAACAAATAGTTCCCATTAGCTTTTGTTCTCCTTTCTTTGTTACTATTATATTGCTGCTCATATATTCTATTACAGACTAATTTTATATATCGTATCCTGTGGTGCACTGTTTAAATATGTGAATGTAATGCTGTTCTTTTTTATTTTATTTCTTTTATTTCTCTTTTTCTTTTTGTTGTTGTTGCTTTATATTTCTAAATCCTTATAAAATTTATGAGGTAATTAGATGCAATATTGTAATGAACGCTGAAAATTCCATACCTGTACCACAAATACTGTTTGGAATAAAGCCATTATTATTATTATTATTATTACTCATTTCAATCTCGCTGAGACTTTACAAATATAATTTTTTACAAATGTGTTTACTTTTCACTCGGCGTCCAAATATTTTGGAACTATTCTGTCAAATCTTAACGACAGTTCATTTGAAAACAACAAAATGTTTTTCAAAACAATTGGTGTTCCCTTTATGCATTTAGATAAAGCAGCAATAAGAAGACGTAATTTGTCTGAATCGTGTGTGTAATTTGAATATTTGCGTGCAACACACATTTCGAACAATCTGATCCATCACACACACACACACACACACACAAGGACTTGTCATAGTAGTATACACATGAGGAAATAATAAAGAGTTAAGAGGTGAGAAAATTGTTTATCTTTCCTAGACATATTGCTTAGTCGACGGACGGCTTGATGGGTCAATAAAAAGATCTATTTATAGAAAACCTACCTGGACAGGACAGTTTCTTAATTAGCACAGTTTCTGTCCTATTCGGTACAAAAGAGCCTTAGTGAGTGAGGTGCCTCTTCAGTAGGATTCAACGAATATGAAGAAGAAGAAAGAAGTTGACACAAACTCTGGTTGATAACAATTATCCAGACAAGTTCATCAGGAGATATAAAGTAGTCAGTGGAACACCAAGACCCACTCACTCTACAACTCGTCCCTAAGAAAGACGTGTGCATCAAGCTACCCTATATGGGTGGGGCATCATAGCAGCTAGATGACTAGACAAAGATTGAACGCCGTTGTGGTTTAGACGACTTTTATGCAGCTAATATCATAATAATTGAGAATGTGAAGCCAATATATAACCATCCATCTAAGCCCTTTGAACATGAGAAAAATGATGTCACATCCCACTGTATTTACCAATTTGAATATACGTGTGGACACACGCATGCATAGGGAGGACTCATCGATCTCTGCAAGTAAGTGCTGGCTTCAGAAACAAATAGAATCTTCAGAACCCATCAATGGTGAGAACAGACGAAGACCTAGCTCCTCTATTGCGAAACATATTATAGTGGAGACAGGACATAAAATTGACGTTAACTAACACATCTTTTAAAGGCCTATGTATCTATAAAAGCGAGTTTTGGCGAGGGCATATCCCAAAGTCTGTGGAAGCTAGTCCTAGCTGGCAGTTAGGAAGTTCAAACCACCTTGATGCGTTCAAAGCAGCAGCAATTCGTCATCACACCAACTAAACCTACCTTCCTTTTTGGTGTTGCTGACTTTGTTTTGATCGCCACCAGCCAGTGCCACTAGATGTATTATTGCTATTACCTCTGTAATTTGGTTTAGTCACTCATCTTTATTTCATTGTTACTTTCACCTTCAATATGTCCTCCTTTTAACTTGACCTAAGAAGTCAAGTCAAGTCTATTTTCTCACCCACCTCTTAACTCTTTATTATTATTTCCACATATGTATGACAAGTCCGTGTGTGTGTGTGATGGATCAGATTGTTCGAAAACTATATTCTCCCTGGAAAATGTACTTAGTAAGCGTTTTTATTTTCAAATAAATTTTCATTCATGTAATGGAGAATTACCTTTATCAGTAATTCTTATTTTTAAATCAAAATTTTTTTTCTCAAAATTAACGGTAGTCTGCAATCACAACAATGATTTAATCTTTGTTTATTTTCAATTTTCATGCGGTCTCATGTCTGTAGACTCCAGCTGGCAGAATTGGATTCGTTAATGCGCTAGAACAAGAGGTGAGTTTTAATAAGTTTTGCTGAAACTAAAAGGTTTATGAAATGAGTAATATAAAAAAATAGGACTTGTACACTGTGATAGAGTAGAATTCTATTGTGATCTAATTGAATTTTCGATTTTCCCGTCGATTGATTGCTTGATTGGACTGAAGTGCTCGTTCGTGTCAGGTTGACATGTCTGTTGGCTTCTTGTGCAGATGCATCGACGATATCTGAGCATGTAATTAGAATTGAATTGGTGGGTGACTAACAGTGTATTTAATCCAGCGAGGATGCGCATTTCGTCCTATTTCGGACTCGTCAGTTGACTGGCTTGATGTACCTGCAGTTCCAAGTGAGTGATACTGTTCCCAGTGGCCATAGTTTCAAACACCAGCAGCCGAAGCGTTATTCACTAGACCACTCGGGCAACGAGAGCCACCCCACTTCTTGTGCAACGGGTCATATTAATTATTTAATTGAATTGAGCTTTAGATTTTCCCGTCGCCTCATTGAACCGAAGTGCTCGGTCTCAGGACGAAATGCGCATTGTCCTGGATTCCATTACTGCTAGTCACCATCCACCAATTAAATTCCATTGTGAATAAAATTTATTCGCGAAAAATACCCATTAAGACATTGAAATAAGAACAAATTAGTTCACCGAAGAGTCTCTTTTCGGCGAATTCATTCACTTAACCGTACAATCCCAAATATATACAATTAATTTTGTGTGTGTGTGTGTACATTAGGTTTGTCAAAATCAAAATAACAGTTAGTGTGGGTCGTTGATTACACCATCAAAATAATTAAGAAATTCAAATGTGTGATTAATAATCAAAGTTGTAACTAAGTGGGGTGAAGATTGGTAAGATGTGAGTAGGGTTACGTAATATAGACATGTTTAGAAAGATTAGATGTTAGTGAAGGAGTATGGAGACAATTATGAAAATAAACTAGATAATAGGTGAGGAGATTGAATGGGTTAGTTACTAAAAATTATTATACGAAAATTGCAAAAAAAATTTGATAACAAAATGTTGATGACAGATAAACTTGAAATTAAACCCACGGTAGTAAGAGGGGGTGGCGAAGTTTCTTCTGTGTGCATAAATCAGGCTTTTCTGTCCAAATCTCTAAGGCTTCGGCAATACGAAGTATACGGAAGCTTGTCGATTTTGGAAGGCTTCTTTTTACTTTATAGATTACTTTGAACGACTTCTCCTTGCAAATCTAATGACCAGTGTTGAGTATATGCTCAATAATGGCGCTCCTTATCGCTCCTTTGTTACCTTTCCGTAGCCAGGCGGGATAGTGTTCTTGAACTCTTTTAGGTAAAACTCGCATCGAACGACCTATATACCTTGCTCCGCCAGAGCAGGTGAATTGGTAGATACACATGGGAGTGGTCAAATGCGATAGTTTATCTTTAGAGTAGTTGAAGAACAATGGCCGGGAGAAAAATGTCAGTCGTACTGTGGCAGCGAAGAATGTCCTTATGAGAGCAGTAGATAAAGTCTCGTAGTATTATACAGTTATATTTATTGATGACGTTGGAATTACAAAGTGATTCCCTGTGTTGGTGAACACCAATCACTCAGCACGATACAATAATGCCCGTAGATGTCCTTATGACAAGAAAAGAGGATGGCACATTAAGAAGAAGAAGTGTATATAGAAAACCCACATCAACTGACTGTCAGTATACTCATTTTCTCAGCTTTGTGCCCTTGAAATACAAACGCAATCTGATAAAGTGCTTGGTCCACCACAGAGCAAGAACAATCTGCTCGGATGTATGTTTTGATGAGGAACTTAATAATATGAAACGGTTGATGAGTGAAATTGGTTATCCAGATACGTTTATTGATAAGAATATGATTCTAAAATCAAGGCATCCCAAGGTACCAATAGTTCCGAAAAAGGAAGGCCTTATTTTTAAAAATGCAGTCAGTTCCTTGGGGATAACATCAGTGAGATACTAACACAGCTGTGCCTTAGAAATGAGGCAGTAAAAAGAGCATTCCCTGCTGCCGAATTACTCTGTGTATTCTTTTGCGTTCGATAGTAAAAGACAAACTGCCTAATTTCACCTCTTCCATGTGTGTGTGTGTATCTACCAATTGAACTGCTCCTGTGGAGTGAGCCAGTTACTTGCATAGGCCGTACAATTAGGCGTGTTTCTCGTCGAATTTCCGAACATCACTCACACTGCACAGTGGTTGGTTGGTTAAGTAAAGGACAAACAAAATCTATTCTCACCGCTATTCTATTCTATCTCACTCATCTTCTTGTGGATACACAACACAAGACTGATTGATGTTAACAAGGCGCGGCTTTCAGGGTCATTTACCGCATACCAACTAACAAATCTCAATTTCGCCTTAACAGTTCGACTACTAAATATTGCTGAGGCTGGCTGGCTGGCCGTTGGGATCCATATTAACAAGCCTAATTTGTGCATCCAAAAGAAGTTGGTTGGTTCAGACATTATCCTTACCCGCTTGGCCATCTAGGTTTGAATGATCGATCCTGAATTTTTGTGGAATTTTCCTAATTTTAGTTGATATTCTATTCGCTACTATATCTTTATTATTATTATTTAAGCATCTTTAATGAACTGTGGTGATTCCATTGTGATCTTACTTTACAAATCGATATTACTATTTAAAAAGCACACTAATACTGTTATTGACTACTAATCTAGAATATTCTATGTATATAAACATGCATGTATTAATATATAATTGTAGAGCCAGAGGATGAGGAATTTATCGAAAAGGATATTCTTTGCTGGCTCAGTTATTTTGTGAATTATGTTTACATGTGAAAATTCTTTGATGTATTTCGAAGTTGATAGAATATATTTTTATTCCTTTACTCCCACCCAATGGAACAAAGGGCTTCAAGCTAGAGGTTTGAAATCTAGGTAGCAGTGGGGTTTATTGTTTTTAAGGGATGGGGTTGCTGGCCTCATTCATGCCCAGTTTTCTCTCTTTACCACTCTTATTAGTGGTTTAGGAAGGTAAAAAGTAATGCATTGGCCGAAGATCGAACTCCGGACTACTTGCGTGGCTGAACCGTTGGAGCATTCTACTGCTGTGCTACCGACGCCCCAGTAGAATATTAGACGCACATAAATGCGTCTAGTTTCACTTGTGTATCAGGCATTTTTTACTTCCCTTTCATAAAACTTCATGTCTTCTTAGAGGAACATAGGGCTTCATCCGCACACGTCTCCATTTTGTTCGGTTCTCTGCTAACGTTTTCACCTGGCTCCAAGTCTCGCACATGCTTTCATCATCTCCTCTTCACATGACCTCCTCCAAGTCACCCTCACACACTGACGACCAACTCGCCACTTCCTATTCGGTTGGGTTCCACTCGAGCAATGGCTTGTCTAGTGAAGTCACTCAATTGATGGTTTCCTCAGAGTATTTCCAATCCACCTCCATTTCTTCCTGAATATTTGTTGCACAATTGGTTCCTGCTGTGTTGGTTCACTCATTGCCAGAGATCCCTCCGTGTTGCTGATCTTTTCTAGCCAGCCATCTGATCTTGAGAGGTACTGAGCGAAGACAACTAGCTGTTGATGAAGGTCTGTAGTTTGTTTGACGTGCTCTTTATGACACGCTGACCAAGTGTCTGATCCATCCGTATAGTGAGTAGCATTGACTGACTTCACATTGGAGTTGAAAATCCACATCTTATTTTCATTTTCATGCTGAGTGATGAGTGCTGAGTACTGTTGACCTCCACACAGACTTGAGAGTAATGAAGGTTTGTCTTGCTTTCCCGATCCTCGCTCCTTCGATATCCTCGTCAGTTCAATCGGCCTGTAGTTGAAAGGATTCTTCCTAGGTAGGTAGGTGAAGGAAGTTGCATTTTTCAGGTTCCTACCATTTACGTTGATTGTTACACACACACAAAATTGATATCAAAATCATAGACTCACTGACCTGAGCCAATTCGGACATGTAAATCCATCAGTATATACAATCATAGACATTCCTTAGTGTTAGACATTCACAAAATGGCAAGCAGATAGTTATAGGTATTATCGGTCAACAAGATTATATCCACAGATACAGTGTTCGAAAGGTAAATATTATTAATAACAATATGTATTCCACAGCTTCTTGGCGAGAAATTCCACAGAAACAAGAGTTTGATGTAACTAAGTAAGAGGTAGCGTACTAATTGAAAAGCGCGTCAACGTCCCGATACAAAAATTCATTGGGCTTTTGTATAACTGCAGAGTTATTCAATGATTCTACAGTCAGTGAAACAGTATTAGTATTTACCGGATGACACAATATCGAACACAGTTCCTTATTGTAGTTCATAATCATTTCATCAATTATTATAATCACACGACTTCGAAACTTGAGTTTTATAGTCTTCTTTGTTCTCTCCTATTTGTCGTCGTCACTGGAGTAGTAGAATTGTGCAGATATCCGGCTGAACAGGTGTTGAATCATTCCTGTTACACGTGTTGATTTGCAGTTGATTCGACCAATCTTCACCACTCGCCACCCTGTTAGTTGTATTAGATTTCAAAACTGTCATCCTATCCCATCCAGCCTATTGTATGTTTGGGTGTGTGTAATTGCATGTAGTGCTTGCGATAGCTGCTCAACTATTCTCTAGATTTCTTATCTTATTCGGGTCAATCAATCTAGATTTCGCTGCTAGGTGTTTATGCTACTCGGCTAGTCTGACTCACTGACTAACCATGTTCTACTAGTTTGACCCGTGTATTTGACCTGACAATCATCGCAGGCAGGGTATTAGATAAACTGAATTGTTTTGTCGGTAAAACGCTTCACAGGATTGATCCTTTAACCGACAAAGCTTGTTTCTAATTGCGTTTGTGGTTGGTTTGAATGCCAGCAGCCACTTTTATTCCTGTCAGCTTTATTAGGAATTCTCCGCTGTAAGGTGGTTTCCGAGGTTCCTTCCTTGTATGAAATTACTACTGATGATTTAGATTCCTTATTGTTGGTGTTGTCTTGCGCATA